ATAGAACTTTTCGTGACCTTCACAGTAGCATTCTCTAAGGTCACCCGATAACTTGTTGTCTTCAAAATATCAAGAGAAATGATGTTCTTCGTTAACTGCGGCACAAACCTCACTTCTTTCAACTCCCTCACCACTCCGTCATACATCCTGATCCAGACTGAACCAATACCACCAATAGGGCATACGTGATCATTACCCATAAGCACGACAACTTTTTTTTCCAGCTCCTCAAAGCTGAAGAACCAATTCCTTCTAGGGCAAATGTGATATGTAGCTTCCGAATCCAACATCCACTCCGTAGAGTCGAAATAGCAAACCGACGGTAGTGCAGGGCACAAATAGCTTGAAGAATCTGAATCTGAATGTTCATCAACAACTTTTGTAACATTCATTTCTGAAGTTTGTACAGTTTTTTCCTTATTCTTCCCGGCTTTGTCCTTTAATTTTGGGCAATCAATCTTTCAATATCCCTCTTCTTTATAAAAACGACATTGATTCCTACCAGCACTCTTATGGCCACTCCTATTTTTTGATTTTGAGCGGTTGAACTGACGGCGGTTTGGATCACGATCTCGAACTGCTAATGCATCTCCCGATGTCTTCTCGGAGGGTTCGTCATCATACTACCTTAACTCATAATTCACCAACGCCGAGATCACCTCCTTGTAGCTAACAATAGTTCTTCCATTGATCATAGTGAGAACAAACGTATCATAATCATCCTCTGACAACGAACACGATAGTAGCATCGCCTTGTCTTCATCCTCAACCATTATATCCACATTGGTGCATCGGTCTTATTATGAAGAGAATACAAAATAGGGTTACAAAATCACTCAAAACCCTAAAACAAAGCTCTCTAAATCTCTCATAAATCTCTCACAATTGGATGCAACAATCATCTCTCAAAGACTGCTCAAAACGTCCTTGCTTAACCCTAATTAATCATGTTTAGAGTTTTATACAAACAGCAAACGAAACGGGTTGAAAACTCAAAGCCTAGCTCAGACCCGAGTCGCAGTCGACCGCACTTGACTCTGCGGTCGACCGAACAGAATGATAGAAACTTGTAAAATCGATTACTGGGTCCGTGGTCAACCGCACTTGACGCCGCGGTCGATCAGACAGAAATCCGAAAATACAGCCTGTAGTGTGCACATTTGCGGTCGACCGTAGCTGATCTCACGGTCGACCGGCAAGCGTCCAAACAGTTTTCTGCGTGCAATTTCCTGAACTTTTTCGCCGTTTCTTCATACAATGCATCATCTCTTGCTTTAATTTACAAATGCAATTGATATTAGAAGTTTTCTCGCATTCAAAAGAGGTTGTTACAGTGGAAGTTTTTGTACTCGGTGCCAATTACTTCTAAACTTTGTTATGGGTACCCTGTTTTCTCCCTTTTAGGGTTCTGATTATTCATTCATCTCACAACAACAACCAGAAAATTGAAAAAACAATTTAGATACATTCATTTTCTTGATGTTTCCCCCCTCAATTCTTCGACTTCCTAAACCATGAAGCATGGTTGAATAAACATCTTACACAGGTTTTCCCTCAGTTTCATGGGTATTCTACAATCACACAGTACTAATTTGTTTCTTTGAGCAACATCCTCGATCTCGTAATTATGATGAATAAACAAAGACCCAAGTTTATTTTCGAAGAGAGTGGGGGAAATCCTTCTGAAATACTATTCGGGTAAGATAAAGAAGCTTCCTTGAAAAAAAGAAAAATGGAGTAGAGGAATAGGGTAATGGGGAAAATGAAAGAGAATGGGTTGCAGATTGAATGGGACTGGTAGGTAAACTACATAAAATGAGCTGAAAAGTACTGCATGTTTCTCATTATCATTAAAAAAAAAGTACTTCTCTTTTGAGGGACATGTGCGCCCATATTTAACTGTCTTTTTCTTTTCCTAAATCCTACGTGTGGTCATAAGCACTAAATGTTGCATCTTTTCTCTTTGTTCGCAGTAAAGTTTGTAGTTCATCAACAATCAGATAGGTACGCTGATGTTTATAAATTTTATTTTCAATGTCTGGTCAAGTATACGAAGTTTGTATGGCACTTCTATTTCATTGCTATACCCAGCTTTCAATTCTCCTGCAGTGCTGGTTACTATATATGCTCTCTCTTTACTGAAATACAATGTTTCATTTCATCTCAGACAAATTGTAAGGTCTTTCTCACAAATTATCAGCGTGAGACACTTTTAGACTTGCTTGTTTTTGTCAATGAAGAATTCATCCGCTGCCGACATCAACTGAACCGGACGCGTGACATCATTAAGGTTTTGTTAATCAGTTGGTTCATAAGAATGTCGTTTTGTCCTTGTTTCTCTTAACAAGCCCATTATAGAAATCTTGGGAATTTCTAGCTGATGGGACAAGGTTTCATATAATTATGCTATGAGACAATCGTGGGGTACTGTGTATTATAGCAAAATTCTTATTAGGATTAGGATAGAATCTTGAGAAAATCTTTGGCAAACATGTTATGTATTGTCAACATTTTTGGCCAACATGGATGACCTAAACTAAGCTTTCAGTTTCCAATAATAGATCAAATATACTTCAAACCAACTTAAAGCTGTATCTCTTTTAAATGTTCTATAAATCTGATGTCCTCAATTATGCTTCACTTTCCAGACCTATAGCTTTGTTAGTTTCTGCAAGTCTCCTTGCACTGCTCTTCATTTGGACATAAATATTTTGTTATTGTAAGGGAACGTATGAAGCCATTGGATTCCATCAAATCTTTTTTCCCCCTTGTACTAATACAGGGGTCCATTAAGTTGTTGGCGGAGAAGCTTTCACACAATATACAGCTAAGCAACTTTTGAACTTCTTTGTGGTTAATCTTTTCATCAAGTGCGGACGAGTTAACCATTTTTTTTTTACAATAATTTAGGTGTTGATGGTGTGAGCATACGGTGCGTGAGTAACTCGTGTATAAGGCCATTGGATGTTTTGTTTCTGAGTAGTTTACATCTAGTAGATTATGCTTATCAGGGGAGTTTTAAAAAAAAAAACTGGAAAGGCAAACCTTTGTTTGGATTTGATAGTATCGGTACATTAGATACTACTGATTATCCTACGTCGTTTCTGTGCACTTGTTCTTAGCATCCTTTCTGGAAAATAAGATGATGTGCACTAAAGCATGAACTTTTATTTGCCCTGATATGTTGTTGTTGATGAGTTTATGGATTCTCACTGATTGAGTATAGTGTGATAACACTAAGAAATTATGATCGAGAGAGCTACGAGTGAGATGCGGTGCAAGTCGAACTATTGAGGGGTTTAACGATATGATCCTTGACATGCTGCACAAGTTTCTGATTCATCGATGGTGCATCGGTCTGATTTTGAACTTTCATTTGCCCTGATGTGTTGTTTAACGAGGTCATGGGTTCGCCCTGATTGAGTTGAAACTGGCAAAGCTAAGAAATTTTGTTCGAGGGGAACTATGAGCATTGAGCAAAAGGCTGGCGCATGAGTCAAATTATTGCGGGGTTTAAGGATATCATCATTGATATCCTGAACGAACTTCGGATTGGATTCATCCTTGGTGCATCATCCTCGTTTTGAATTTTAATATGACGAATTATTTCTGTGCACGCCTGCTTTTTGTTTTGAATCGCCTTTCTTATTAATTTATTCTTGAAGTTCTTTCTGGGAAGAAACCAATTTGACGCCCTTTATTTTCTCAGGTTCTGCATTAACATGAAGAATGTGATTGAAGAACATGCAAGATGTCCGCTACTTCAATTGGGAAAATAATTAGGAATAATATATATACTGTACATGTAAGCAATGATTCCACATCTCTTGTCTTATGTTGTTGATTAAATGCAGCCCGTACGTAGATTATGTTATCTTCTGTCTATTCTTATCAGCACATGAATTATTCCTCAAAAACTATGATGTTCACGTTCGCATAGTCACAGTTACATATAATAGATGAGGGTGTTGATGATGAGATTCAGCTCTGATCCTATCAATTTCTTTCTGCTCTTAAAATAATTCATGATTCATGATGATCTGGGTCGTGTAAGTTTTGTCTTGCACTTGATTTGTGAGTCCTATACACCTTTAGGCATATGCCATTTAGGCTGACAGATCAATAAGCATTTATGTATCGCATAATTAACTACACAATATATTTCTATCCCTAAAGCAGCAACGGTTGGTTTGCCCCTGGCTACAACTGTAGCATTGCTTTTATGTTTATTTTTATTCTACTGTCCTTAACTAACAAAAGCAATGATCTCCATGAAAGGGATCATCATTAAAAGGAAAACCCATCGATTTCAAGCATGTGGGTCCGTCTCTTTCCACCACCTCAGAGTCCTCAACTCCCCTCTTTTTTATCTCAATTTCTCGGTCATGTGGGTTTCTGAAGAAGCAGCCATTTTAAGCTCACATTCCAACACCAGCAACCAACAGACAGTCCAATCCGGTCACAAGAGCAAACTGTGCAATAGTGCTGCAACGTATCTTTTCGCTGCCTCAAGAGTCCTCAATTTTTTTTTAGTCATATGGGAGTTTTCTTTCTCCCTTCAAAACTAAACTTTTACACTCATAAACCCAAACAACTTTCTCGTTTTACCCTAAGCCCAAAGTGCCAAATACGCCCACACGTTCATAATGTACCCCTTAAAAACTAAATGAAGTACCTAAAATGCCCTCCCTCTCTCCATCGTCTTCTCCTTCCTCTTCCTCAGTTTTGTTGATACAAAATGTTTTTGCTATATATCTACAGAATATGTTGTTATATTTACAAATTATACTTGCAGCGTTGGCGATATACTTACAGATTATATCGCTGTACTCAATAGGTTTTTGTTGATATAAAGTTTTACAAATCTCATGTTTATCATGTCGGTTGATGAAAAATTGATGCTTTTTCTCCAAAAATCTCGCAAAGAAGCGAGGATTTCTGGTACGAGATTCCTCTGTTCTAGCAACGAACTTCAGAACCGTCTGCTTTAAGAAAAGAAAGAAAGAAAGAGGCCGGTCTTGGATATGATAACGAATAGACCCTGATCAATAAAAATCAGTAGAGAACTCAGCAAGAGTGAACGTCACAAAACTAAATTGTTATTGCCTAATGTTACATAAGCTTGCATCTCAACTACAAGCAGAGTCCTCCTGAATCACCCCAACAAGCTGATTCACTGCGGCCGCGATGTCATCCACCGATTTGAATAGGCAGTCATCTTCCACCTGGATATCGATCGGAAAAGAGGAAAAAAAAAGAGTACAACACAGTCAGCATTAATCGCTCAATAATCGTGTGCTGATGAGTTGTAAAATCCTACTTTGATTTTGATCACACATAATACCTTGAGACTGACAGAGTAGAGGACCATTTGATCGACGGTGGTCACATTAAGATGAAGAACAGTGAACCTGAGGTTCTGAAGTCCAGCGACCATTTTAAGCAACTGCTTCGGCCGCCGCTTCGACAGAACTTTAAGGTTGGCATGGGTCTCGATCATGCTCACCTCAATGTCGGCCATGGCCGACTGGTTCTTGGCCGTCGATTCGATTGCATTGTTGTTGCTAGTAGTTGAGTACTGAGGAAACGTGAAGAAGTCCGTCAACGGAGAAGAGGAGGAGGAGTTGGGCTCGGGCGAATCGCGCCCGAGCTTGATTCTTCTTTGGGCTTCTAGGGTTTGCAGGTGCTGTTCGAGCTCTTTGACAAAGTTTATGGCTCCTCCCACAATGGATGCTTGATCTCCCTGAGCGTGTAGAAGTTGAGAATTAGGGAAAACATAAGATATATAATTGGGGATATTTTCTTATTAATTTGGGAGGAGAAGTTGCCATTTTCATACTCGTTTGAAGTTCTCTTGCACCCTTGTTGAGATTATTTCCAACCATTCAGGTGTTTTCTTAAAAAAAAAAAGATTATTGAGGTACTACCATGTATCATAATTCAGGGCCTGCTGTATGCGAGATCAATATGCAACAAAGGGACGCAACTTTTAATGCAAGGGGGCATGAATTTCAGATTCTTTGCAAAAGAGGGAATCTAAAGTCAGTAAATCTCTGAAAGCTAAAAAGGGGAACCAAGCTATTTGGCACCAGAAATTTTTTTGTACACAAACACTGGCGCAGCAGGGAACTTTTGGCCTCATGTGATTCTGATTGACACAGATTTCCATTGGGACTTGAACTATGAGAGAGAGATTTCCATGTGTTGTGACAAATCAATGAGTCCAGAAAAACTGTCCAAAAATATCTCATTATGAAGGAGATGAGATTCCTATGAAAAAGCATCAATTGCTACACCATATTTGGTTGCTAATCCTTGAATCATTACTTTTTTGTTGTTGTTGTTGTTGTTGCGCCATTAATGCAATGGACCGAGAAATCGTTGACTAATTTCTATATTTAATTACATACCCTTTGAACATAGGACGGCGGCATGATCGACCGGAGCACGGCGAGGTACTCGTTCATGAGCTTCCTCCGGTTGCGCTCCACCGCAATGTGTGTCATCCTCTGGCTCTCCACCTCCTCCTTGTTCTTGCAACTCCTCGACCGCCGCCTCCTCTTCTTCCTCTCAACCACCACCACCTCCTCCTCCTCCTTTACCGCCGCCGGCGACGCGGAGTCCAAGCCCCACTGATCGAATTCCTTCTCCTGGCCACATTCAAGGAGCAAACCGCCGAAGTCATAGCCGCACAACTCCTTCAAGCTTGCCCCGAAGGGGTCTTGTTGAAACACCACCGCCTCCAACGCCATGTATAGCTCTCTTGTGTTGAGAATGGGGGAGGAGAGAACAGAGGTGATGGTGGTTGTTTTTAAAGAAGGTCGAGAGAGAGAGAGAGAGAGAGGTAGAGACAAAAGACAAGAGGGGGGTGTTGCCACGTGAGGAGGAGGAGGAGGGCAACATGTAGACATGTAACGTGGTGGTTTTTTGCGCAAGCGTACGTGTATAGTTTTGTTGTTTGCCATCGGATGTCAATTTTCGTTTGAGAGGAAAATTATTTTTAGTGACCATGTTCATTAACGTGGATTTTGGTACGCATGCAGCTTTCTGGTGACCATGTTGAGACTCTTAATTAAATCAAACACCCTTAATTTGCTCAGACTTCTTCTGTTTGAGATGGACAGGTTTCAGTACACCAAGTACTGCATATACGAAGCTTTGTACGCGTGTCAGTGTGTCGGGGGGGTTGCAATTTCGCTCGTCAAGAACTAATGTTAATTGCTTAGTAATGTTATACTTTAATTTATATATTTTGTTTAGATACACATTATTTCTCCGTGAGGGGGAGGGGGGGTCATCAGAGAATCTAGCAGCAGACTGAAAGTAGTTCATTGGGAGTGTGAGATTCAGGTGCGTACGTAGCCATGTGATTGAGGGCATACCCTTTCTCTCATGCAATCATAAGCAGTAAAGACACTTTTTTTAAAAAAAAGAGTTTTTTTTCCCTCTGCCTACTAAAAAGATACTAATATATATATATGTGCAGCACTTTAGAGACTCTTGGGGGTTTATATATATATTTCCTATTAATTGTTTATTCATGATGTTACTGAGAATCAGTGCATCGAAAAACATGGAACTACAGTCTACAGCACTTGAGCTCCTTAATTTGTTTATTCTGATGATTCTCGCAATCCCAAAGGTAAGAGAGCATCGGGGACTTCTCACAAAAGGACTTTTACTTTGCACATGACGAATATAACTAATTGTGTTCTGTACGTTACCTTGAAAGCTTTACTTACTTGCCAACGCAACGCATTTCTGCAATACTAATTAATCAGTTATCATTCCATAAAAAGTCATGAAACCTTTTTTTTTTTTTTTTTTGCTCCTGGTTTTGAAACGAAACCTTCCCGTTTCGTCACGTGGTTGTCATGTGATGCCAATGTATTGCAGTAACAATAAGATGAATTTACGGTATCTTGCGTGATGTAAGTATATTCATGTTTTAAGAATTTATTGCATGATTTTACTATTCTTTTTTCTTCGCTGGTCGCTCTGACGGTGGTGGTTATCTAATATTATATTAGTAATGATCATAAGAATTCTGACAACTAAGACTATTCATATAGATGCAATTTCACGTAAAAAAGCTCATGTTGTTAGGTAAGAATCTGCTAACAATTTAGGACTGGTAAAAGAAATTTCACCATAAGCTTGAAAAGGTTTCTGTAGTACAATAAACCAATGAAAACAAATACTCTAATGCTATAAGGTTTGAATATTTATCAATTTCCAGCTTACTACTTCGTGCCAATAATATCAAGCTTGTTACATTCAACCCTAGAGAAACATCATCTATAAATTGTGACTGCTTCTGAACTTAACTGTATATGAGTCCTTATTCGTATCATTGTCTTGCTGATTCAAGCTAATGAAGTCTGGGGCACATCATAATCTTGTTAAAGTGACTCACATACTCAATTTACGAAAGATCGAAAACCTTATGATAATATTACTTACTGAACTTTGATCATTTAATTATGACATTGACAATGAATTGGACACACTTTCTTATTAAGTTTTGTTGATTGAGCATGAAAATTAAATTTGAACTCAAATTATTAAAAAGAGGAGTGCAAGCAATTAGCTAGTCTTCCTAGCTCACTTCGTCTTCCCTCTTGTACACTACTAATTAGTCAGAACAAGTACAACACAGAGGATTAAATCTAATACAGATGAGTGCTAATCGAATATTACTATATAAATTGTGTTTTATGTTACTTAATACATTAATTAATCATTTTTCTGATGTAAGATTATTCTGACTACTGCTGCCTAGACATGCATGCTACTTGACTAAATTGAGCTACTGCAATTATTCTCAATTAATCATTTCTTAGGGATGCTTAGGTTCTAATTAGGACTAAATTAAGGGAATGTGGAATGATTAGTGGATCAGTGTTATTAGATAAGAAAAGATTCCATAGAGGATCGCCTCTAAAATAATGTATTATGAGCCTCAGAAGGTGAGTACCTAACATGCATGTCAGTACAATCACTATCAAATGCAGTCATTTCTATGAGTTTAATTACTATATCAGAAGAAATTAATAATGTGTACATCAACATTTGTGTTTTCTGTAGACGTTGAGGAGAAATCCACGTGTAAATTGTGTCCTACAGGGATCATCGGCCAGCTGGCTTAATGAAAGTGATTACGGTCTCACTGCCCAAGTAGGTGGTCCCTAGTCCACGTCATCATTCTTTTTCTAAAACTTAATTGATGATTATTGTTCATTTATCTTTCCGAGTAGCTGATAAAAGTCTTTCCCTGTTGCATGTGAGAGAGACAACTGAGTAATAAACTCGCATATAATCGTGTGCTTGTATCAAAAATAGTATATCCTTACGAATAGATTAATGCCTTGAAGACCCCAAATAGAGGACCTAATAGGATATCCTTTTCCGATTGGATGATGTACTGTTCATAACAGTGCCTAAAGGGGACACCTGTCGCCCGTTGGGTCCTTGCATCGCTATAGAAATGCCCTTAGGAATAATTTATAATGGTTGCTATCATTTAATGCTGGGGCACTTAAATCGGATAATAGTTTAAATATTATCTTTTTAATAATTGATAGGTTCAGCCAGGAACCTGCGTGAATTTCGAGCTATAAAAATAATCTTTAATTTTAATAGTTGGGAATATTTGTCGGAGTTTGTCATCATGGCAGCTTCCAAGAGCTTGATAACATGAATATATTGATATTCTAGAAAGAATATGGAGCACTAAGAAATTCTCATTTGAGCATAAAGTTGTACTTGATATTAAGATATAAGAGGTCAAAACTTGAGGACAAAGTATTTTATCACATATTTATGAATCATATAATTATGAAGAGTTTTAGCTACAGGTTATAAAAATACGTGTTATTTTGATTAACTTTGTGGCGGATTTGTTGTTGTGCGCCGCGGTCAAAACGATGGGGTGCCGAGAACAAATATCAATGCTGAGAGAGAAAGCAAAACAATCCAAAATAACGACACAAACACAAACAAACGAATTTTATGTGGTTCGACAATATGCTTACGTTCACGGGGCAAGAAGGGGATGAGTTTTCACTAATAGAGAAGAAAAGTACAAATAGAGATTACAAATCCACAAACTAATCTCTCACACAAAGCGCTTAATCTCTCAAACAAAACTCTAACCAATAGCTCTAGAAAAGACTCTTTTCTGTGCTCCAAATATCCCCAATATTGCTCTCCCAGAAACCCTAAAACGTGTTTCAATATATATATCAAAACACAAACCAAATCAGAACAGGAAACCGTAATCAGGCTCAAACCCAACTGGCGGTCGACCGCCGAAATCGTCGTGGTTGATAGACTAGAAAGAGTCCAGCAGACTAGATCGAACTCAAAAAAAGACAGAAACCAAAATCGACTACAGGGTTTTGATGGTCGACCGTAGCGGTCAATCGTCCAGAGTGCAGAAACATACCCTGTAGTCGTGCACGTTTGAGGTCGACCGCGCAAAAGCTCGCGGTCGACCGGAAAGCACCCAAATGCCTGTCTGCTTCATTTTTCCTGATCTTCTCCAATCTTTTCGCTCATTCTACATTTGTGCTTGCACCTTTGTTTTTATATGATAGTCATTTTACAGAACTTGTGTTTGCAGTCGTTCTTTCTGAAATCTATTTGCACTCACTATTTTTTGCTCTTAGGTATTTTTAAAATGTCTTAAATCATGAATATTTGCAATCCTTCAAAACTCAGTATTTGCAAGAATATTCCGAGAGCATCTACTTTTGAGGAAAAGGTATCCTTCAAAACAATAAATCATCGACTTTTTAAAATATGGTGAATAAAACTTGACTATTTTGTCAATATTCTTACACCATAGGTACAAACTAGTCGTGAACACCGTGCAAAGCATGGTATATCGTTTTTTTTTCGGTAGAGTAATCCCAGTTTTAATGCTACAGTACTTTTAAGTTTTTTGAGTTGCTACAGCTCCGCTTCTGCTACAGTTTTTAAAAATGTTGCAGTATCCCCGTGTGCTACAGTGATTTTTTTAAATGCTACAGTATCCTGTTTTGCTGCAGTGGTAATGCTACAGTAAACGATACTGTAGTATTGTTGTAATATGAATAGTAACTCTTGGGTTCTCCTATTTGTTTAGAGGAGTAGATTAAATTTAAAAGTTAATGCATTGTTGACTTTGAGATATTTTCTCAAATTTGATGATTTGAAGTAATTCTGCAAAATACTGAGATTTATCGGCGGTTTTGAAAATATGCATATGTTAAGGGGTATATACATGCATAACTATTTTGAAAGAGTAAATTTATTGTATTTGATCATCCACAAATTACCTAGAATCACAGGGAATCTTCCCATGTCACAAATAGTCTAATAAGGCCAAACCATGCGTTTTGTATGTGTGAAATTTTTGTATAGAAAAGGACTCATCTTTTTCTTCCCATTAATTTGTCTTTTATCTAGCCTAGATAGTGAAATGGTGGAGAAAAGATAAGTATAGCTTGTTTTTTGTACAACACCTATTTCTTGTGAACTTAATTGCTCCTTGATTTCACATCTCATTGCCTCCCAATGACAATCCATCCTTTGGCACGTGTCAATGGTGGGGTCACTCGTGTACCAATCGGCACATGTGCGTGTCGCTTCATGTGATGAAGTCGTATTATATCCGTACACTGCCAATATGAGATTTGTATTATGTGATGAATTTAAGCTTGTCATTTCTTTGCCAATGTTTGAAAATTGGTCGATTGAATTTTATAAAAGGTGAATAAATTACTTTGTGAATAGAGCTTGACTTTTAGTCTCTTAAGACTTAATTTGGCTTTTTTGCGGCTCTAATTGTGATTCTTTTATATGCAAATTTTCAAGT